GGTTCATCCCAGGACCTCACATATGCTAGGCAAGTGTTCCACCACTGACCTACACCCCAGCTGGACAGTTCTACTTTAAACTCTATCTTCTGTGTTACCAGAATTGAGGATCACTCTGAAATTGACTTCCCTCTAGAATCACAAAGAAGGTTCTACATAGTAACCAGTTTTACTTAGGAGACTGGGGCCACTTTCTGATTCATGTATTGTACTTCAGAACACTTCTAAGGGAACCCTGTTGTGGAAGGAAAGGGGGCTCCTTACCCATTCATCCCCCAGAGCTAGGTCACCTGGAAGTGTTGCCTCATTCTTCCCTGCCCTTCCTGTCCATCCGAGGCCCTTCCTGTCCACCTGAGGCCCTTCCTGTCCACCCGAGGCCCTTCCTGACCAGGAGCTCCCATCTCACTGGGGAGCAAGACCTAGGGCTAGAAGATGCTCTGACTCGGTGTGACTCCGACACCCACTGCTGTCTGCCTCCTATGACCCACCAGCCATGCACCTGTCCTCTGCTCTTGACCACCCCTTGTGGTCTGGCTCCAACCTTCTCTAGGTCTCAGAAAAGCCTTCCTGGGTCCCCCAGGACACTCCCCCACCTCCTGGGGCTCTGTTCTCCCAGTACTATCCCCACCCATCTGCTGTCCCACTGGGGTGTCCTCCCTAAGGGGAAACTCAGAGGGGTCCTTACTGTGCTGGCCCTGAGCACTAGAGGGCTGATGAGTCCCTCAGAGGAAGACCTACCTGGGCAGTGCCTGGGGACCAGGCTCCTGAGAGGCAAGGTCAGACCCTCCTTCTAACCAGTAGCTTCCATGTACCCTAATGTGAGCAGAGGCAATGGAGCTGGCCCTGTCCTTCCCTACCACAGACACTTGTTGAGCACTTATTGTATACCAAGACTGTTGGGCACGGCCACTGTGCTCACCTCACAGGTGAGTAAACAGACCACATGGTCCTGGAACTTTATCTGCAGAGGCAGGTGTGTTTTCAGGTGCTCTGCTAGCTCAGGTGGGTCTTGGGGAAACTTGTCTCACGCAAGGGCTCGGGATTGGGGCACTGGGGGCCATGGGGCAGAATTGCTGTCTTCATTCTGTGACCTTGAAGAGTTACTTAAAAGTTGAGAAGTCTCTGGGCTAGGTCTCAATGTACACATCTGTGAAAAGGAGGTAATCACGCCTACCTGGCCTGTCAGCCTTCAGGATGGCTGTCCTTAGCATCAAAGACAGATGCTATAACATGACCCTGGGTCATGGGCTTTGCCCTTCTACAGTCTTAGGTCATCGAGCCTCAGGACAACCAGCAAAACAGCAGGCAATGCTTATTCTCCCTATCTCACTACAAGGAACATGGAGGCTCAGAGATGTCCAGTTGAACTGGCTAGGGCACACAGTGTGTCTCATCAAAGTCCTGGCTTACAACTGGGCACAGTGGTGCATGTCTGCAATTCCAGCAGTTTGGAAGGCCAAGGCAGGGAGATTGCAAGTTCAAGGCCAGCCTCAGCAACTTAGTGAGGCCCTAAGTGACTCAGCAAAACCCTGTCTCAATTCTTTTTTTTTTTTTTGGTACTGAGGATTGAATCCCTGGGTGCTTAACCACTGAGCCACATCCCTAGCCTCCTTTTATTTATTTTTTTAAATTTATTTTTTAAAATATTTTTTTAGTTGTTTATGGAACTTTATTTTATTCATTTATTTATATGTGGTGCTGGGAATCAAATCCAGTGCCTCACACATGCAAGGCAAGTGCTCTGCCACTGAGCCACAACCCCAGCCCCCACTAGCCTCCTTTTAAATATTTTATTTAGAGACAGGGTCTGGCTGAGTTGGTAAGTGCCTTGATAAGTTGCTGAGGTTGGCTTTGAACTCTCCATCCTCCTGTCTCAGCCTCCCAAACAAAATTAAAAAGGATTGGGAATGTATCTTGGTGGTAAAACAGCCCTGGGTTGAATCCCCATTACCAATAAATAAATAAATAAATAAATAAATAAATAAATAAAAATAAAAAATAAAAAAGTATGGCTTCCAATTTCTGATCAAGGAACCCTGAGACTCTACCTGCTAGAATCCCAGGAACTGCTCCTGAGGCTAGCTTGAGATTCCTTGTCCCATAGCTCCTGAGCTGGGGACTGTAGTGGTCATGAGCTGGCACAGGGAATGAGTTCTCCATCATGAGAGGCCTGTGAGCCAACTGTGAAATCATCCTCAGGGGGTCAGAGCACACACAGCCCTAGATCAGGAGCAGGATCTCCCTTCCCTCCGCATCCTGGGTTGTTCTCCCTGCTTTGCTGGTGTGACCACACTTCTCCACAAACATCAACACATGTGTGAGGGCAGTAGATGCTGGAGCTGATGAGAACTTCTGGCCATTTCCTCCATCACCAGGCAGGCATGATGCCACAGGCTGCCAATGCGACCTGTCAGAGCAGCAGGAAGCCAGGCTGGTGGGCATCAGCTCTAGAACTTGCTTAGCTCCATCCTATGTTGGTTTTCCCTTGGATAAGCCTGAACAAACTGGTCATGGGCAGGCTGGGACTCAGGATGCCCTTTCTGGACTGACCAAGTCCAGGAGGAACTGGCAGACCTTTAATGTGGCCAAGCCAGGATGATAAAGTCTGTTCTGCAGAGTGGATACTGAGGCTCAGAAAGGGCTGGACTTGCCCACGTCCTTCAGAATGCAAGGGGCAGGACAGGTGTCTGTAGCCTGCACAGAAAGACAGAATGCTTCTCATCAGCTCTCTACCTCTGCTGGAAGCTCCCACCCCTCCCTGGCCTGGGAGGTGCGGCTCAGATCACTGTCTCAGGGCTGCTCAGACCTGTAGAGCTGGCATCTGCTGATCTGCTTCCTGCTTGTGTGGGCTCTGTGCTCTTACCTGTCCTGCAAGGTAGGTGTGGGATTAGATAACATAAATTAACAGGCATATGCCAAAGCCTAGCCCAGTGCCAAGCACACCGAACCACCAGATCTCTGGAGGGAAAGTCCTGATGGGAGATGTTTGCCAATTTCCATAGTGTAAATACTTCCAGTATTGCGACTTTAGGCTACGGTGTGGCATCTCGGAACTCAGAGCTGGGAAGACATTGAACGTTGGCCTTCATAAAGTTGTTTCCAGTTGGCACCAGCACCTGCTGCTAGCGCCCAGCAGGGCCCAGGAAGTCCTGCTGTGCTGGGTGGCAGTTGGATTGGAACATGCTTCCCTCTAATTGTGAATGCTTGGTATCTACTCTGCTGGCTTTTATGCCACATGAGTTGCTTTGTGCCAAAGGCTCCAGGGCCAATAGGCCATGGTCATCCATCTCTAAATGGTTGTGCAGATCTGACCTGGTGCCACACCATGGGGGTGGATACTGAGATGAGAATACTCTGACATCTCCCTTGCGCCCTGGTTTCCTCACCTGGAAGCAGGTGCAGTGACTGTGAGATACAGGTCTTGGAGGATTGGGTGAGGGTGAGGTGCTAGTTCAACATGGTGCCTGGAGCAGTACTTAGAAATAAGTACAGTCTGGCCATAGTCTACCCGCTGCAGTGAGATTCAGAGATGCCCACAAGTGGGGCTTGCCTGTGGGAGCTGAGAGGAGTAAGCTGGAGGGAGAGATCATGCCCAGAAGAGGCAGCATTCTGCAGAGGTGAGAGATGAAGAGAACTTTGGGTCGAGGGATTTCTGAAAGTCTCTCCACGCCCCCAGACACGGTATTCTAGCGCAGACTCGGTATTGGGAGCTCTGGAATTTAGAGTAGGTAGCTTCTGCCTTTGGGGCCTCTGTTGCTCCAGGATCACTGCTATCCGTCTCCCTGGGTGACAGGGAGACCCTCGTAGACCGTGTAAATACAGCAAGGGCGGGAAGGACACTCTCATCCCTGACTGTGTTTAGCCCGGGCTTGGGCTCCTGAGGGTAGGGTACCCTCTTCCTAAATACCCATTTTGTCGGGACACAGGTTCCCAGGTCTGTTGCTCTGGCTATGGTACTGTGAGGCAGGGAGCCTGCTATCGCCTCCCAGGGAAAAATGGGGGCCCTGCATGGCCAACAGCCCTGCGGAGTGTTCTAAAGAGCTTCACAGGTCAGGAGTTGGCCTGGATGCGGCAGCCGCCCGGGAGGCAACAGGAGAGGTTCCGCAGGTGTCCGCGCGCGCCCGAAGCCAGGTGGGCGTGCCAGGCCCCGCCCCGCGCGCCAGCCGGGGGCGGGACGAGCGGACGCCCCGCCCTCCCCGCGCGCCGGGTCGGAGCCGGTGCGGGAGCGGAGGCGCGCTGAGCCGGCAGGAGCACGCGGGAGCGCGGTCCCGCAGTGGCCCGGCCCGAAGGGAGCAGCGCGCAGGAGCGGAGCAGCGCTACGACCCCCGCCTTAGCGCGGACCCCGCCCCAGCGCAGACCCGGCCCCAAGCGCGGACCCTGGCCCTGGAGCGCGGCCTCGCCCGCCTCGCCCTCTCTGGCCACCCGGCCGCGGGCATGGACGGCGCCCGCTCGCCCTGTGAGTGCCGAGCCCTCCCGCCCGCCGCCTTTGTGTGCGCGCCGCGCCGCCGCAGCCCCTTCCCCGCGCGCCCCTCCCGCGCCCCGGGCCCGCGTCCTTTGTGGAGCAGCCGCCTGACCGGTGCCTCCCCCCGCCCCGGGCCTCCCTGTCCCCTTTGCAGCGTCCCCCTGGACAACCCAGCAGGCCCTCCTCCCGGGCCTGGGGGCTGGGCCCCTTTTCTCCGGCCTCCTGGTCCCTTTGCAGCCCCTCCGGGCCCTCAGGGACATCCAGCAGGTCCTCCCTCTCAGGGTCCCAGTGACAGCCCAGGACAGGCCTTCTCCGCAGCCCGGGGCTGAGCAGGGCACGTCCCCCCTTCCAATCCGGACCTCCCAGTGCAGTCTGCAGCCCCTTTCTCCGAAGCCCCCAGGGACAGCCCGGCAGGCCCCCTCCGAGGTCGGGGCTGGGCAGGGCGCGGGCCCCGGGGCGGCGCTGTCTCATCCCGTGGCTCGGGCAGGTGCGGCGGGACCGGCGCTCACGCGGGCCTGTGTGTCCTTGGCCCGCAGAGATGGACCGCGATGGCGGCCGCCGAGACGCCCCCGGCGCGCTGATGGAGGCCGGGCGCGGCGCGGGGCCCGCGGGCATGGCGGAGCCGCGGGCTAGGGCGGCGCGGCCCGGGCCCCAGCGCTTCCTGCGGCGCAGCGTGGTAGAGTCGGACCAGGAGGAGCCGCCGGGCCTGGAGGCCACCGAGGCACAGAGCGCACAGCCCCCGCAGCCCCTGCAGCGCCGGGTGCTTCTGCTCTGCAAGACGCGCCGCCTCATCGCAGAGCGCGCCCGTGGCCGCCCTGCCGCCCCCGCGCCCGCCGCGCCTGCAGCGCCTCCGGGTGCCCCGGGAACCCCCTCGGACCCCGGCCCGGAGCCTGCGGGCGCCCGTGAGCCCAGCCCGGACCCTGCTGCTGCGGCAACCGCGCAGGTCCCCGACGACGGCCCGCGGGAGGAGGAGGCGGCGGCAGCGAGGCAGGAGGACGCTGGAGCCACCGAGGCGAAGCCCGAGCCCGGGCGCGCACGGAAGGATGAACCGGAGGAGGAGGAGGACGACGAGGACGATCTCAAGGCCGTGGCCACCTCTTTGGACGGCCGCTTTCTTAAGTTTGACATCGAGCTGGGCCGGGGCTCCTTCAAGACAGTCTACAAGGGTCTGGACACCGAGACCTGGGTGGAGGTGGCCTGGTGCGAACTGCAGGTGAGGGCTCGCTGCCCGCAGGTGGGCTGTGTGAGAATGCGTCCTTGGGCGCGTCCTTGCTCCTGAGCTGGCCTTAGGCAGCCCTGAGGATGGCGGGGGCTGCCGAGTGTGTCACCTTCTGTGTGGGTGGCCTGTGTGGACAGCGCACAAGAGGCCTATCTGTGTCTGTGCTGACTGGGGCTTGTCAGCCCACTTGATGGCAGAGGTCAATGTGGGGCTTTGTACTGTGTGTGTCCACGCTGTGGGGGGCGTTAGAGAAGGGGCACTTGGGGGCTGTGTACTTTGAAGAGCCCTCCTAACCCACTTCACTGTTCCAATAGAGCCTAGAGGCTGTGTGAGGGCGTCAAGACCTCTCAAAGGGTAGTTTGGGGCCTCTCAACTGCCCTTAAATTAGTAGCTTCCTGTGTCCTGGAAGGTGTAGGTGCCTCAGCCTACAGGCTACAGGACTTCCTCTGACCCAGGGATCTGTGACCCAGGGATGGTGCCTGGTGCTGTCCTGGGACCTGCTGAGCAAGCTTTGGAAGCCCTGTGCATAGCCTCTAGGTGCTCCCAGGACTCCATCTATTCACCAGTTGGATGTGTGAGAGCCCTTAAATCCAAGTCATGCAAAACGCTAGTGGGTTTTTTCCTTCCCTTCTTTTTTCTTGGATGCAAAGGCTCTGGGCGTGCAAATTTCTTAACCTTGCCCTCACGTTCGCTGTGTCAGCCCAGGCCCTGGAAGATTATATAAAAGGCAACCCTAGGCCAGCCTTGGAAGAGGAGGCAGCTCCTGTCACAGGGGGTGTTTACAGGCCCTCCCTCTTTGGGAGGGGGCAGCTGTCAGGCAGAGGCCGGCCTGGGAGAGCGCTGGCTGGAGGTGTAAGCCTACCCCACTGGCCTGTAAAGTTAGCTGGCCTTCCAGGCTGACGCAGGCTGGGCGAGCCAGGGCAAGCTGGGTGCCAGGGCCTCAGGCCACACTGCAGGATGCCTGCATTTTTGGCCCAGAAATGGGATTCAGTTACTGTGTCCTCCAGCCCCTGCAGGGTGACCTGCCGGGGTGTGCAAGCCGGGCTCATGTGGTGGGTGTTGACCTGCCGTGAGCCCTTCCCCCAAGACGAAGAGCTCCAAGGTCTTGCCTCTCCTCCGTGGTTCTGTGTGGCTTTGTGTGATGGGGGTCTGTGGTATCCTTCAGGGTCCTTCAGGAGGGGCTGAGGAGATCCTCTCTCCTCCCACCTGCACCACAGATTCTAAGCCTCGCCAGAAGGTGGCCTTGGTGGCAAGAGGTGGCCTTGATGGAATAGAATGGACATGTGGGTGGGGCAGGTTCCGAGGGCTGGGGTCCTGGGGTGTGTGCACCGTGTGTTCCTGCTACCTACGTGAGAGGCAGAGGGGAGGGAGGATCCAGGAAGGGGAAATGAGGATTCTTGGTTCTGGAGCCTGGTAGGAGCTTTGGCTCCCCACCTCCCTGCTCTGGCTAGATGACCAGCATGGCTCTCTGAACACGCACTGGTGCTGTGGCCTCAGAATGCCACTGCGGGCGGAGGGCAGAGGAGTGCTGCAGCAGGCTGGATGTGAGTTAGACCTCTGCAGCCTGAGCCTGCTGATCTGGCTGAGGCAGTGCAGGAGCATATGACTCTGGGAGCTTGTTAATTCTCCTTCCCTTTAAGGAAAGGCCGTCCGTCCGTTCAGTGGCTGGGTCTGCCTGTGGTGAGCAGGGCAGCGGGGTGGGGCTTGGCCTCCATCCAGGGGTCTTTTCTCCTTGGCTCTAGATAGGAGTGGAAAGGTTGGGGGTAGTTTCTGGACTAGAGAGTGCTGTTCCTTGCCCTGGGGTTACTAGGCACCCCCTCCCAGCTGGTGGGGAAGCTGCCCCCACACTCCCCCAACAAGAGGTGCCTCTCCTGTTCACCCAGGCCGAGGTACATGCCAGGAGGCCACCTCCCTCTGCCTGGACTGATCTGGGAGGGTTTTCTCTGGCAGAGTTCTGAACCTACTTAGAAGAGCCCCTTTATTGAGAACCTCTTGTGTGACAGGTTTAGCCTGGGACCTCCTCATCACAAACCATGGGGTCATGGGGTCATGGAGTAACCTCCTGAGGCCACCCAAGAGGAGTTGGCAAGGGGCATTTTGGGACCAGGGAAGAAGGACATCAGCCTGGAGTGGAGGATGGAACCCACCCAGGGTCCCCTGTGTGGTGACTGGGCTGTGGGGCAGGGCTGAGTGGGGTGATGTAGGCAGCAGGGGTTCTACACGTAAGAAGCCCCTATGTCAGGACGGGGACTAGGGCAGGGGCGTTGGAGTCCTTGAGAGAGGGTCACTCCTGGGTGTGGTATAGAGTCAGGCCTCACCAACCAACAGTGCAGAGGGCCTGCCTGGCTGGTGGAGGGCGACAGGTGGCCACTCTTGCTAGCCAGGTTGGCTTTGTGCCAGGGGTGGGTGCCTTCTCGTTGCACAGTGTGGTGAGGTTCATTTTGCCTCCTGGTCCCCCGTGTTTCTGGGCACTGGGAGAGGGGCCTCCTGGGAGTCCAGGTTTGCATGGTGGAGGGACAGTCTGTCAGAGTGTTGCCTTCAGTCAGGGTGGCCTTGTGGTCTCTGGGTCTCTATTCCTCTCTTCTGGCCCAGAGTGCCTCTTTGGGAGTGGCCTCCCTTTGGGTACGCCGGAGTCTGGCTGGTGGCTGTTTCCTTTTCGTGACCTGGTTGGGCTGGGGTCTTCTGGGCCCCTTTCCCCCCACTGGAGACCAGAGAGGTGCATTGCTTGCTGACTCTTTCCAGGGTTTCCTGCTAAGGGGCAGAAATGTCCCAATCTTGGACCTAGCGAGTAGCTTAGAGGACATCTGATTTCCTTCCATGACTTGGTGTTGAAAGAAGTTTGCAGGGAGAACTGTGTGTGCTTATCTCACCTCCAAGGGCAAGATGCCACACCTGAATTCTCTAGAGGGCCAAAGCTGAAACTGGAACTATTATTATTGTCGTTGTTGTTATTGGTGTGGGGAGTAAGCCATTTAAAAAATAGCTTTTGAGTGAACTTTTATTTTTGGCACCAAAGCGCGTTACAGTGACCATGAAGGAAGTGGAAATACTGTCAGACTCCCATCTCCTTCCCACACCCCTTCTCTTTCCTGGGACTATCCCATGTGGCCTTGGCCCTCTTTGGCCAGCTCTGGTCCTGTATAGATCCCTTTCCCATCAGACAGCCTGCGAGGCAGCTTAGGACTCCCCTGTCGGCTCTGGGCATGGCTACCTGGCTGCTGGGGTCCCACCTGGGCATTGCTCAGCCTCCATCAAGGCTCACCTCTGAGGTGTGGGAGACACGTGCCTGGCAGGGCAAAGTCACAGCACAGGGATGACAGTGCCTAGAAGCGGGTGGCACTGAGGGGCTCCTGGCGTGTTGTGGCCACAGAGCGGTGATAGGGAACCTGGTGCATCCCCATGGCTGCCTCTTGGGGTGCCTTGTGTTGGTGAGCCTGTTCCCGCCTCTGGATGTTGACTTTCATGTCTTCCTTAACTCTTGACTACATGGGTGACCGAGCTGACACTGTCCCATGTGACTTAGAAATCCCTCTTCCCTTGTTGGCCAGGGGTCCTGGGAAAATGCCCCGGCCACTGTCCAGAACCTGTTGAAGTGGCCTGCTGACTTTTCCTGGCCCTGCCTGCTTCTTCTCTGTCTCTCGGGGACCCTGGGGAAGGGGCGGAAGGGGACCCTGTCCGTGTCCTGTACTTTCAGGAGACGCAGGGTCTCAGACCCTTTGTAACCCTGCCTTCCACAGAAAGCCACTGTGCCCTGTTGGTCTGGGACCTGTGTTCCCTAGATGGTGACCGGGGCCCCATGCAAGGTTCGGGGATCCATCTGCCTTGTGGAGACCTTCATTTCTGACTCTCAGCTCAGCACTGGCTGGGCCCTGGCAGAGCAGGGCCTAAAGAGAATGGGGGCTGGGGCGTCCAGTTCTGCCCTGCTTGAGTCTTGCCAGCTGGAGAATCCGGTAGAGAGGTCCCTGGGCCACCCAAACATGAGAGGGGTCCTCCTGCGGCACTGTGCGGTGGTGATGGCCATTTCAGAGCTCTGTTCCCCCCTCTCAAGAGCCTGAATGCTTTGCATCGGTGGCCTTGTGTGGGGGGCCCTACTGCTGCCTGGCCTGCCTTCACCCCCACCCTACTGATGCCCAGAGGGGTGGGGGCAGGGATAGGGGGGACACGAGGAAGCAGTGGTGTTCCTCACAGAGACCAGACTCTCTGCAAGGGCTCAGGCTGATTTGACCGGTGGTCGCCTGCCTGTGTGTGTGTGAAACTTCCTGTTGCTTCATTCTGTTGAGGGAGCTGGGATTTGGCACTAGCGGGATGGCAGCGCTGAGTTTGTGTTCTTGGGTGAGATGATTCACGCTTCACCCTGACCGAGGTTTTGTTTTGATTGGTGAGAAAGGCTGGTGCTGGGTGTCCTTAGGACTGTGGAGATGGCTGTCCTGCCACAGACTCAAGGTCCCCTCCTCCCCCTGAGTGGTGTCGTGAGGTGTGTGTGGTCAGCAATGACTACGAGCAGCCTAAACTGTGGCTGCCATCGTGTGGGGGGGGGGCAGAAGAGGGTGTGGCACTGTGGCTTGTCCCCCGTTGCAAGCCATTTCTGGGCAGTTGGACATGTGCTTTTGAGGTGCCCTCAGAGGCCCTGGACTTCAGAGGTGCCCAGCTGAGCCTGGTTTAGGGCCAGGTTGCTGTGTGACTCAGAGTAAGCTGCATTGCCCTTCTGAGCCCTGACAGAAAGGCCAGGATGGTCTCCCACGTGAGGGGCAAACCTGCATACGCGATGTGTTTTTCCTGCTGTCCCTTAGCCATGTCTTCTCAGCTCTGTGACCTGTGAGGAAGCCTGAGAGGACAATCAAATATGCCTCCTGCAGCACCAGCACCAGAACTCTCTGTGGCAGTAGAGATGGCTGTCTCCGTCGTCTCTCTACATGCCCTGCTGAGCACCCCGCGGGGGCTAGGGCAGGTGGACATCGCATCCTTGATCTTTCCTACAAGAAGTGGGCAGAGCG